TTCCCAGGCTTCGATCTCAAAAACATGCCAGTCATGGATGGATTTGAGGTGGAAAGTAGCATAAGTTATGTTTATCTTACAAAGATTGAAGACATCAAATCAATATTGAACCTACCAAATCTAATTGGAGAAGAAGAAATTAACTTAAGAAAGAACATAGTATTGTTTACAGATTTTATTCAAAACCTCACTATCAAAACCATATTAGAAAAAAATACCTTGGATATATTCTCATTAGCTGATACTGAAACGATCAATGAAATTATGAACACACTCAAACTCCATTTCAATTATCTACTAGAAATTCAAAATGAGCAAGAGATAAACAAAATTTCTATACATCCAAATTCAATAATTTTAGTTCAACTAATAATCATGACTACAATATATAAAGTTTTAGAGTTATTAACACGTTCAGCTACCAAATATGGGGTTGAACTGAAAACAATAAACCTTTTAAAAGCAAAAATAACAACTTACTATAAAGAGAATTTGAAAGAAAAGTTTCTGAAAAATTTAGAGCAATTTCATCATTTAAATTTAGTTCATATAAAAATGTTATTTAGGGTACCAAATAATAAAACAGATGGTGTTACTGAAGCTGGTGGTAAAAATGCTCAGAATAAGGTCATGATGATTCCTTTGAAAAGATGTAATAATTTAAATGCTATTTGTAAAGAAAAATTAAACACTGATAAATTCATTATTGATTTAAACCATACTATAAAACATTTCAATCATAATATTAATATTGATAATTCTACAACATCAACCAATAATGAACAGACATCAGTGAAAGATCAACTAGTCATATCAACATCTATCTTCTTAAATGGAAGGAATGGACGTACATTAGCTTCATTAATTAAATCTAAGAATATAACACTTCCTGAAAATATGAAGATTAAATTACTAGAAGCTATTAAAAGATCTGGTGAAAACTTGGAAGAGAATTCAATATCCTCAATAGAAAATGAACGTGCTGATAGGGATAATTTACAACAAGATTTGTCTATGGATATTGATGTTGGAGGTAGTGCTGAAGTCGAAGAATTTAATAGAGTGCCTAATTATCAAATAGAAGCATCTGATTTAGAGTCTGATGCACCAGGGATAACATTTGGAGAGGAAAGAGATGCTGAGTATGATAATGATAGTGAGCTATCTATTGATGATGAATTATCACAGGGCGTTACCCAGTATCTAAACCAGATAGATGATGCAAATGCTGAGAATCAACTAGATGATGAAGAAAATAGAGAAGAAGATGATGATAGTGGTGATGATGAAGATGAAGATGAAGATGAAGATGAAGATGAAGATGAAGATGAAGATGAAGATGAAGATGAAGATTCACAAGGTACATCAGACTCCCGGTTTTTAAATAATCTAGATATTTTGCAAACCTTATCAAATGATGTAGAATCATCCTCTATTTCCTCTCTCCTTTGGTTTAAAAAAAGATATCTTGACTACCTTAAAGCAAATCCAGTTGAAAGTTTAAACGTAGACTTTATAAAAGACTATACAAAAGGTTTAATTACAAAGTCCTATGCAAACGGTTTATTGAAAAGAGTTAGAATGATGGGAATAATGCTAATGGGACCAAACGAGAGTGGTAATCCCATTACAAAGCTTCGTGAAAATGGAGACCGTACCGTTAAATCGTTTGAGGCTTCATTTGCTAGAGGTATTGATGAAATGGAAGATTTAGAATTGGACGACGATGAAGATGTTGCTAATGCTGCAGATATTGGTAATACTCAGTCTCAAGGAAAATCAGCTAAAAAGTCACGTCGTGCTGAATTGGATAGAATCAAAAGAATTTTAAAAGAAATTGATATTTCGTTTCGTCATGTTGATCGCTTCGAAGAAACACTCATTAATTTTCTTCTTGCAAGCCGTTTAGCTAGCAAAATTGGTGTCTGTGCCAAAAGGTGCAGCACATCGTATTCCTATCATGTTCACCAAACAATGTCAGTTCATGAACAGCTCAAGCGAACATGGAGTTGTCCTGTTTGTAAAACTGTTAATTCTATGGCTAGCTGTGAATACTTCATTTATTTTAGTCCTCAACTTTTTATACTTTCTGTATTAAATAACAAAACCACATATGAAAAAATATTGAAAGTTCAAAAAGAAGATGTTGATTCTTCAACAATAGTCAATTTTTATAATGGAGAATATGTTAAGAAGCTTAAAAATGAAACTTTGAGATCTGTTTTATCTGATGGTACTGTTCTAGAATCTAACGATACCCACTATTTTGAACATTTCACTCTATCTTTTCACCTAAGTCTTGACGGAATTTCTATAGATAAGAAAACTTCTGTTTGGCCTATTCTATTAAACCTGATAGACTTGGGGGCTGATAGCTCTGATTTATCCAATATGTGGAGGCTGATGATTTTGCCATTAGCTAAACTTCCTTCAGATTATGTTGTGGATTCATATATGGATTGCTTTTATGATGATATGGCCCAGTTGGAAACTCAAGGTATGACAGCATTAGATCCATTTGGTGTAGAATTGAAAGTTTTTGGTATATTAGCAAATATAACAGGTGATTTCCCAGCAGTGAGCAAAATATTACTTTCAACTGGTCATAATTCTCTCTGTCCCTGCAGGTATTGCTTCCTATACAAGATGATGTATATGACAAGCAAAAAAGGTCTGGATGGAAAAATGATCTATTCAGATCCGTTTAGCATCAATAAGATTCAAATCAGAAACAATTTTGATCAGTTTCATAATGTATATAATGCAACACGTTTTGATTCATTACGTGGTACATCAGGAGTGGGTCAAGGGATTCTTACCTTGAATAGAGCTAATTTTAATTTATTGAGAAAAGATTTCACAACAAGGGAGCAAATAAGAAACCTGGACCTTGATAAAAACCCACATCTAAGAACAATAACTGGTTATAATAGAATTGGTCGTCTTCTGACATTCAGCAAAGCCTTTTCTCTTGGATTTGGGCCTATAATGGACCCCTTACATTCCATTCTTGAGTTTTTTGTGAGAAATTTCTTGAATTTATTGTTTAGAGAAAATTATGAGCATAAACATCTTTCATTAACACAATTTGAGAAATCCAAAATCAAGCAATGTTTGTCAGTTTCTAATGAGTTTCTTCCTTTCCAGTTTTCTAAGAATTTTCAAGATCTTGGTGAATATTTATGTGCAGATACTCTCCTGTATGTTATGCTTTTGCTTCCTGATTTGATTGAATATACCAGCTTGGATGATAAATTGAAAGATTTGATTAAGACCTTGAGAAAGATTGGTTGTTTTTTGTTTCAAAATAAGGTTACAAGAGAAGAAATAGATTTGATGGATGAAATTATCAAAACATTTGTTTTGAAATTTGAAAAATTGATAAAGACACATACCCCGGAATTGAAAAATTTTAGATCGGTTTTCTTGCACGAGTTGATTCATGTGAAGGAAATTTTATTGAGTGTTGGTTCATTGAAGTTTGCTAATACCTTTAAGAATGAACGTATGGTTGGAATAATTAAAAAACAGCACCATGGTACCAGATCTAATGGAATTTCATTATCCAGAAAAGCTATAGTAAGTTACAATTTTTTTAATGTTCTTGATCGGTATCTAGAGAATATGGATTCACCAATCAAGAACAAAACCTTTTTCAATATTAACTGTATCAAATCATTATCAATTTCAAAACCTGGTGATATTTTAACAGATTATGAAAGACAGGCTGAAGTTGAGAAGCAATTCCATTTGTTAGAAGAGAAAAAAAACAACAAACAAATCAATTTTGATACAATTCCAGCATCAGTGAAGCTTGCTGTTTTAAGATTAATTAAAAACGGACAATTTCAGTTATATGATGATCAAGGTAATGAAATCCACAAAATTAGGATCTTTTCTAGAAGAACATCAGAAATAAGCTGTGTTTCAAAAACGCTCACAATTCAAGCTCCAAAACTCAGCCAACAAAATTTACAAGAGGTGGTTTCTGGACAACTCGGTTTAAAAGATTCAAAACTAAGAAGAAAACAATCAAGTGTATTGATCCACAATTATATTACAACTGATGGTATCAATCCAATAGGAGAACTTTTCGATATTGAAATGGAATCTTATTGTTGTTTAGGTCGTTGTCTAAGTATCTATAAATGCCAAATAATAGAAAATAATGGGGAAAAGAAAGTAAAAGATGAGTTTGAATTGGGATTGTTTATGGTCTATGAAACTGTGAATGATGATGACTTGGATCACCATAATTGGGTAGTTAATCCTCTTACCTCTTATAAGGTTGTTAATGTGCTATTAAAAGATGTGAAAACCATAGTGCACGAATTGGAAGTGTTTGATTTTGATAAAAGTGTTTTGAGAAGAAGCAAAAGAGTTTTGGTTAGTAAACAAGCTTATATTAATAGAAAAGAAGTTTTTGATCCTTAAGCTTTAGGTGAATTGGACATGATAAAGTATAGTTATGTCACAAATATGTATATTAGTTGTAAATATAAATTATATTGTGTATATTAAATTTTTTAATATTGTAGTTAACATTATGGCAGATTTCAGGTTCAATAAAGAAAAACAAGAGTCTGAAATCCACCGAACGCCAAAAACATGAGCTATTTGAACTTCAGACGCTGGGACTCAAGTATTTTGCGCTCTTTTTAGGACCTGAACGTCCCATCAAACGAAAAACTTCAAAGGTAAGCTACGAAAAACGACACTCCTTCCATTTTGGGACAGTTGCACAAGCAAAAAAAAAGCCTGGCAATAAATTTCGAACTAACAAAAAACTAATCTGGTAAAAAGCTGTTACGCAAGCTTCTTACCAGTAGACTACCAACTAATTGTTAGAGAATCAAAAAAACCCTGTTTACTATACTATGCCCACTACCCTAAAACTTCAAGTC